CCGGGTGAGGATCGTGCTCTCTCCTGCCTCCTTCTCTATCCAGGTTTAGTGACTGTAAATACGTGCCTCCTCGCCTTGTTAGCCATCGCTGCGGTCCGCCTGACCGAGTGCTGTCCTCAGAGCCACAGGAGGAGGGGATGAGGCTGGGGAGCTCGGCTCGGCTGTGCCGGCAGTCTGACCGAGGTGCTGTGCCGCTGCCGGCGCGGGGAGGGCTGGGGGTTCCGCCGCTCCCCCGGCACAGACGGCCCCGAGCGAGGGACTCACCACGGGCTGTGCCAGGCAGAGCGACCGAGAGCTTTACCCGTGCAACGAGCTCCACGTGCAGCCACTTCTCCAGGAGTACGTGCAGTGGCAGAGCATAAAGACGCCCCGATGCCCTTGGTCGAGGCAGAAGGTCGGCAGGTGCACGTCCAAGAAAGCGGGGTCGTTACTCTTACTACTGTTATTTTTTAAAGAGACCTTTTCGAAGCCGATGGGATTTAATGCATTGACCTGTTAAAAGAGGAATAAAAGCTATTTTCTTTCAGCTGTTACAAACCTCAGACACTTAATTTGCTGTTCAAGTCTCCAAATACTCTCGCTATGTATTATTTCCAGAAGTATCCACCGTATATTCGGAAGCAGCTGAAGGGACTCAGCAGCTAGATCGCATTGCAGCTCTTCTCATCCAAATGCAGGGTCTGACTCTCAACACCCACCTCTGAGACTTTTTCTTCTTCCCCAGGTTCTCTTCAAATTCAGTAGCAGCTTTCATGGGAACTAGACTCGCTTCTTTTACCTGTAGTTACTGAACTGTAAAACCTCATTGTTTTTTGCACTGATGATTTTTAGAACGGAAACCTGTTACCATCTCATGTAGCTACACCTAACTGTTTGTAGTGCATGACAATGAAATATTGCTAAGCCAGGGCGTGTGTGTGTATATATATGTTTATATACATATATGCCTATACATATGCACACACACGTATATATATGTATGTGTATATATCTAAAAAAAAACCAAGTCTGTGCAGAAGTTTTTCCAGCAGTAAGGAGACTGTAAGGAAGTGTGCCAACAATGTCAGGCAACCTTAAGAAAAGGCCATATCTTAATTTTCTGGTGTGTTTCTGGGCGGAGGTGCCCGAGCTGCTGATTTGGGTGTGGCAGAGGGAGCTGCCGGGGCACAGGGCGAGGTGCTCACTGGGGACACCAACCCGGGCGCCCTGCGGGGCCGGGAGCACCTTGCTCTGCAGCAGCCAGGGAGAACAGTGCCTGGAGCCAGGGCTTGCCAGATAGCCCCTGAGCCCCGTCCCCCCCGGGTCAGCCTGGCTCCAGAGATGGGCTGGGCTCCCTCCCTGCACACACCCCCGGGCAGAGGGGCGCCCGCCCCAGGGGATCCGGGGCGCCCAGCTACAGACTCTAGTTGGCCTCTTCATGTGGAGATTTTATAGCTCCTCGACTATGTAACCCTGCTTTCCCCCCACCCCCCACTTTCCTGTCTTTATATCACTTTCTACTTACGAGGATCTTATTTATAACAAAGAATTTTTTAGACTGGCTGCTTCATTTTCTTAACTGTTTCAATATGAAGTGCAGGACGGCCGCACTGAGATACCCAGCACTGTGAACGCTGCTCTGCTGGTCGGCTCTGGGCCACGGTAGGCAAATCAAGCTCCTCAGACATCCAAGGCAGATCTCCCGTGTTGGTGGCGCTGGGGGGTGGGACAGGGGCAGGGGA